AGAGAAAATTAATTTCTATTTTTCTAATAAGACCTATTTTTGAATAGAAAAAAATTTCTACCCTCATTTAAAAAGTGAAATATTTCACATATTTTAATTTTCTCTCCAGAAAAAAAGGAAGATTATAAACTGCCAATTTCCAGTAATCTAAGTACTATTCAAGACCTAAACAAACAACAAGAACAAACAAAAGAAAGCACACATGCACACACAGACACATGATATTGGCTACATTTTACATTTCTTTCATGTACAAAACTCAACTGAAAATGACTTATGTGGTAAAATATAGACTCAGAATGAAAATATAGAAAAGTGCAGTTTTAAAAAGTCTCATGGTCAATATTAGAAAAGAATTTACAGACCTGGCAATATGGTTCAGTGGTAGAATGATTGCATAGCATTTGGGCATTAACTAACTAGGCCCAGGGTTTGATCCCTAATACTGAAAAAGGAGAAAAAAGAAAGAAAAAGTGGTGAAATACAAATAATACAGGAGCATTTAAATGATTATGATTTATATAACAGAAGAGCAATAACTAGCATAAAATCTAAAACGAGCCTATATTACATACACATCAGGTGCATGTAAGTGAAAATCTTGTTTGATAAACACATAAAAACACTATGAAATTACAAGGTTTACTTACTATTTCTACTTGATTCAAATACCATATCCGGGTTTGTCTTCAATAAGATTAGTCTGTTTAATCTTTACAAGTCAAGCTACAAAAGGCTCCAACTCTGCAGACACATAACATAGCTATACAAAGTATAAGGGGGCATCAACTCTGAAAGAACTTTGCATTATGTCCCTTTTTATTAAATTTTAGCTGCCCAAAATACTTTTATCTTTTCCAGCATCTCTAAACAACTATTCCTCCCTAGTAAAATCAAGACCCAAGATAGACAGAAACCAAAAACTGAGATCAAACTTCATCTTTTCCTTCTGTATTTAGTACAGAGTCTACAGGGTCTCACTACACAGATCGGACTTGTAGTGATTCTCCTGTTTTCAGCCTCCCAAGTGTTGGGATTACAGGGGCATGCCACCATGCCCAGTCTCAATTGTAGTCTCAGGACACCCCAAGGGCAGGGCCGGCACAGCATGCCAGGGATTGAATCCTGACCTCTGTGCTCTGCCTAAGCAGGCACTTTAGTCCACTGAGCTATCAGGCCAGCCCTCAAACTCCATCATATAGCTGAGCTGTATGATTTTCCTGAGGAATTATGATATTGGCTCAACTCAAAGAACTGTAAAATTGTGGAAAGCTTAAAAATGAAACCTGTTATGGATTATGGATTAATTGCTCTGATTATTATTTGTTGTTCTATAGATAATTTTTTGTACTATAGCTTGAAAAGTGATAAGTTACTAAATGTTTGTTATTAATCAGAGCTGATAATAAATTTCATTAGTCTTAGTAAAAACAAGAGGCAATCTTTCCTCTAGAAAATGTTTTTATCTACTCTGTTAAAGATCAGATAGTTGAACATGCCTATAGTTGTTTTTGCATGTTCTCTCCTATTCCACTAGCCCATATGTGAGCTTTTATGCCAGGGCCATGCTATTTTATCACTTTGTGATATAACTTGGAATCCAGGATTGGCCTCTTTAATCTTCTTTAGAGAATACTATAGTTTTTGTTGCAGAAGTCTCTCATGTTCTTATTTAGATGAACTGCAAATAAGACACACAAGCTGAAATATCACATGTTCTTATGTGAGGAAATCCAAAATGTAAATAAGGAGCAAGATAAAAGGCATGTAATGGGAAATAGAGAAGTCGATCTTTTGCAGGGTAAAGGGAAAGGAGATAAAAAAAACAAAAAGAATGAAGATGCATTATGCGCATGTGCCAATTCCCCATAGGATATGTAATTATTATGTACTGCAAACAAGGACTAACAAAAAATAAAAAGTTTTAAAAAGTAAATCTGAAAATATTTTCAAATACCTAACCACTAGTTTCCAAACCAATCACTGAAAGTTACAGAATTACATGTATTATCAAAAATACAATATTTAAATGATAAAAACCTTTCAGGCTTAATAAAAGAAACATTTTTCTGAAGTATAATTCTTTTTGTTTTTGTTATTTTGAGACAGGGTCTTACTGTATTGTTCAAGCTGCCCCTGAACCCACTATGTAGCCCAAGTTGGACTTGAACATGTGACAATTCTGCCTCAGCCTACAGAGTGCTGGAATTACAGGCATGAACCACCACACCATGGTTGAAGTATAGCTTTCCTAGTGAGAATTTCTGTAACTCTTTGACTATTAAAATGCCACCTTTTTCAATTGAGGAAAAAACATAAAAGAATTTGTTAAATTGTAGTATTTGAAATTTCTATTAAAATCCAAGTAAAATGTTGCTTTGCTATAGTTTAAATGATTTTAAAAGTCAGTTTAATTTTAAACCATTAATATGAATTATAAGTTAAATTCTCTAACATGTAACTGACATGTAACATGTAACATAAATCAGGACACAGAAGATCAAATTAATATTACAGGTGAAAAGAGGAGGTTGCTTAGAAACTAAGAGAGAGGGAGAAAGGGAGAGACAGACAGAGACAGAGAGCAAGAGAATGCATGTGTATGCATGCAAGAGAAAATAAACCTAAAGGAAGTGGTATGTATTTTTTAGTGTAAGGTAGTGAACTACAATCATAGTTTAAATATAATAAATATAATGGGTAAAAATTTAATGACTATGAAAATGGAAAAAGCTCAGAAACTATTATTTCTATTTTAAATAAAGATGATGGTTCTCCAATACCAGCTGCTCACAGTTCACTGCATGAGGACGGAATTGGCAGGAGATAACGACCTCCCCCTACAGGAGGTGAAGTGCCTTTCATGCTGCACACCTCTCTGAAGAACAGTAGTGGGAGCAGGAGGCCAAGGCAGCATGCCAAGACCAAGTTGGTTTCTGATGATCTCTATAAACATTTTGTTTTTTTCTCCCTACTTAACATGTAGGAAAATCTGCACCTTAAAATATTCCAAAGCATGTCACCTGACTACCATTTGGCTTTAATCTTAAAAAGAAAGCAGACACAGAAATAATACCATTGATAGCATTAGAAAAGGATGGAAATAGGCTGGCCAAATAGCTCAGTGGATTAAGGTACCTGTAAGCAGGCACAGGGGCTGGGGTTTCAATCCCTGGGCCTGCAATGCCAGCCCTGCCCCCGGGGCATGCTGAGACAGCAATTGAGACTGGGTATGGCGGCATATGCCTGTAATCCCAGCTCTTGGGAGGCTGTGAACAGGTGGATCACTGTGAGTCTGATATAGTAGTGAGACCCTCAACACCCTGTAGACTGTTCCCTAAAATACAAAGAAAAAAAGAAAGAAAAAAAAAAAGGATGGAATGTCATTCAATTTAAAAAATTTATGTTTTGAAGAACTCTACCAATTCACCGTCTTCCCTGGAAAACTGTTCTCTCAATTTTTTGTCAATTAATAACACTTCCATTCCCAGCTATTTCAACTCTGTCACCTATTTGGTAAGGTTTGCTTATCAACTGCAATTCCCAGTCTCTCAAATTGTGTTTCGTCTCTTCCAATGCAAACTGTCACACACCTCAATACTTCTCACCTGCACTATGGCCCTCTTATCTTAAATGACCCCTGTGGTTCTAGTATCTCAAATACTCATACTGTATAGTTCAACCAAAATACCACTTTCAGATTATATCAAATAAAGTGCCCCCATTAGCATGCCACTATTATATGTAAAATCCTTTCAAAAGTTACTCTGCCATAAAGAAAGATAAACAAGTTATCTGTAGAAAAACAATGCACCTTAAGGTCATAATGTTAAGTGAAAATAGACACACAAGCTTACATATTGCATGGTTTCTCTTACATGAGAAACCCAAACTATGAAGAATGAGACAAAAGGAAGTAAGGAGACAGAACTCTCTCACATGGGAAGGAGTCAAGACATGGCAGGAGGGGCCAGGAGGAAAGTAAAGGGGATAACAAAGGACTTAAGGTGATAACTGTCCAGACACCAATCCTACATGAGGGACACAAATGTGTACTGCAAACATGCAGTAATTTAAAAACCAGAAATATTCTGGTAATATAATGATCAGGGAAACAAAATTCAGTCATAATCTTTCCCTACAAATAACTAAGACTCCAAGTACACATTAGTAAGAGCTAGAATATAAAAATTAAGGTTCCCTATTTATTATCATAATGTTTACAAAACAAAAATTTTTGTGAAGCACTTACTATACATACCATAGAGCTTAACCTCTGCAATCTGCTTCAAGCCTACTTTGGCGGCTTCTTTTCCATCCTTCCTTTCATACAATCTAAGCATCCACACCAACCAAATTTCCTTTTCTCATTTGGGGTCTGGAACTCTTTTTCCCTCACCATGGACTACTGCTCACATCATACTTTCCAACTGGTCTGGTTTTTGTTTTCTGGTTTTTTTTTTTTTTCTCCATTTATGGATGTCAAAGTCTACCTGACTATGCTTTGCAGTTTGGTTCAAATAATGCAAACATTTTAAAATTATCTCTGATGTTTTCTTCTCCAAACTCCAATAAGCATTTCATGCTTTTTTTTTCCCCCTATGGAAAATGTAGCATGTCCACAATGGTGTTACAGGCTTCGTGCATGTGTGTGTAAGAAGGAGCTTCTCTCAGGACAGACAGTGCTTTGTACCCAGATGTCCCCAACATTGTGTGCTCACAGGTGGGGCTCTAAGGAGGTGACTGCAGCATGGCTGTGATAAGCACCAGGTTGGGCACTGTGTCTCAGAAACAAGAAAGCAACTAAGACAGGCAGGAACCTTGCCATAGCCACTTCTGTATTCCCTTAAGGCATCACACTGAGTTCCTGAGTAAATGGATAAAATGAGGAACTTTGAAAAACAAGGGCGGTTTTAAAGACAAGCAGTAATTCTTACGTTTAGTTTTATTATGATTTTCCTCTTTTACTCAAAATTTCTTCCTTACCCTAAGCTTCTTACCTGGAGATATGTTATTCTCCGTTGGACCAGCTCAGTTAGATCTTTGGCTTCTTTTTCCCGCCAATCACCGGCTCCATCTGTTTGACTGAGGTAGTACAGATCTGTCATTATAGACCTGTGAAGGCAAACAACATCAGCAGTCTGACTTACTGATACTGCTTCACTGGATTACACAAAACCAAATTCTTCACAAAGATTGATGCTCTTATTAGTCCTAGTATTCATCTTTCATTTGCATCATGGCTGTGAAATTCAAAAATTAGTTTTTACCGTTCACATTTGTTCTTATAATGAATTTTTATTGCTAAAAAAACCACAACTTTTTTTTTTCCTTTAAGGTCAGTCAGCTACATTAGTTTTCTAAAATAAACTACTATTCCATTCTGGGAGAAGTGGTTTCCCAAAACAGGTAAGTAGGTAGGTTAACACATCCTCTGTTCTAAAATATAGCAGAAATAGATACTAGAGATCTGAGAGCTGTTTTTGGAAGGAATCTCTCCAAGAAGTGAAAGACGCAGTGATCATCTTTTTCATAGTCACTGACAAAAGTGGTGGATCGAACAGGGGAGGAGTGCCTACCCTGTGGGCATTTGCCAGTGAGTGTCAGAAGCTGGCAGAGGAATTGTGGGCTTCCTCCCTCATTATGTTGATGCAGAAATTTTGACTATGACATTTCACACTATAGTAATCAAAAAAGAGGGGTGAAATATAGAATATCCTCATGGCTAGACTTGAGTTGTGTCCACTGGATTTCCTTCCAAAAGGAAAGCTAATGCTCTCTCCTTTCTGAGAAATATCTTAAACATCCTGGCAAAACACTGCCTTTACTGGGGTGCCTGTTGTGTTAGGAACAATAGATGAGGTTTGTTCTTTCCTCCATCAGTCTCTTCAACTACATTCTGAACCTGACAATAAATTTTCTGTTCTTTTTCTAAACAACAACAACAAAAATAACCTGAAGGAAATTTGCCATTGTCAGTGAAAAGGATGCATGATGCTTTTGAAATTACAGTGGCCTTCCTAGGAGCATTTCATTTATGTTTGTACAGTATAAATAGTGATACAAGTATCACATGGAATAACTATAGTTGGCAAACATTTTTTCTGTGTAGTGTTCTCAAAGATTTTGATTTAACAGGTAGTAATTTTTGTCCTTAAAAATGTCTTGCCTTTTACACAGGCCCTTGGGGAAAGACTCTAGGGCAAACCTGTGATATCTTTTCAACCAGGAGCTTTATTGCAGTCTGCACTTAGTCACTGAAGTGATGGAAAACACTGAATTTTATCATTAAGTTTGGATTTGAGGAAGCCACAAATTAGCAACTAAACACTTGGTATTTCAACGAAACTCCTTGGGAATGTTGTAGCTCTCAGGAAGGCAACTTTCTCAACTAACCTCAACTATCTCAATCTTACGTGTGCCAACAGTGGAACACGACTCAGGAAAAAGTGTTCTCGGAACAGACCTCAGCACCTTTCAGTGGTTCTCTCTCATGCCTTCAGTCACGGGAAAGTTCAAATTCAGTACATCCAGGAGACATCACACTGAGAACACAGAAGCGACTTATCCAATCATGGCATACTCTCAGCTGAGCTTTATTACCGAAGAATCAATCAGAAACTCAGAGCGAAAGACTTCTAGCTTCCATCTACCATTTGTGAAATGCTCCATCTGCCTGATACCAAGGTTTGTCCTCATTTGTGTGCAAATACTCCCAGCTGCAGTCACATAATGCTGGAGACTCACAGGCGTAGAACGACTTACACTGCCAAACAAGTAGTCAGAGACATATTGGTGTCACATTGCTGAAAGTCCTGTGATGAAGGCTAGAATGAATGCCATGAAAACGGACAATGTGTCCTGAAGGATATGTGAGGGACACTGTAGCAGATCAAAGATTGTTTCTTAATCTAAGTTTTGATATACAACATGTTCTGGATTTACTGGTGGACATAAACCAAACTCTATGCAACTAAGTCAGAATTTCATACAAGATAACTCAGAAACTATTGAAGGCATCTAAGAGTCTTTTAAAACAGGTTTTCTGTTAGTATCTAACATTTGGAAGAAAAGCTAAGAGGTGTAGCAGGCCACTTGACCGCTGACCATCTTTGTCTCAAGGCTCCTGTCGAACACTTGTAACCCTGATGACTGTCTGCCTGTTGAAATGCCCTTGTTTGAACTGTGGTGCTTCAAAGAGCTGCCCTTCCAGGGGAGCATTCAGGAGGCCTCCATTTCCACGTGATCTCTAGTAATGAAAATGTAATGAATGCTTACTATGTCTAATGTATAAACTAAACTTTATCATAGGCTACATGTATAGGAAAGAATAATGTATTTTAAATAAACTTAAAATATTTTAAATTAACTTCCAGATGAGCCTTAGAGCACTATTATAATTAGACTTGTGTTTCCACGATGAATTCAATTCCTCATGGATGGTGTATCATTAGCTTTGCATTACCACAAGAAAATACCTGAACCAGGTACTCTATAAATAAAAGCAGTTTTCAGCTCACAGTTTTAGAGGTCCAAGGGCATGGTGTCTGTATTGGCTCAGTCCTGACAAAAACACTCCCAGCTGCAGTCACATAATGCTGGAGACTCACAGGTGTAAAACAACTTACACTGCCAAACAAGTAGTTGGAGACATAGTGGTGTCATATAATACCTTTCTAAGGCTTCCTCCCACACGTGCATACCAACGGCCTAAGGACTTCCCTACCCTAGGTTTCCTGGCCCATAAGTTCCACTTTATCTCAACATTGATACTTTAGGGACCAAGACTTTAATCATAATGGACCCAAGGAGGATATTCAGATGACACTGAAATTATAATAGGAGAAAAAAAAATAGGGTAATGGGGCCTGGAAGATAGCTCAGTAGAATAAGCACTTTCCTGGCAAGCACAAGGGCCTGAGTTCAATCCTTGGTTCCACCAAATAATAATAATAATAATAATAATAATAATAATAATAATAGGAGGTAATTTTTTCACAGTAACTATAAAACAATTCTGTAATCTTGAGGGGACTCTTATTTTATAAACTGAAATATAGTTGCAAGTTAGTGGATATATAGCACATTAATCAGTTACACAGTAACACCTTAGATTCCCTTCTGCAAAATGATGAAAATGGAAATAGCTAAGATGATAAAATGTCCTATGTGAGGTTAATATTGAGAACTGACCCTGTTGTTTCAAAGGATGTTCAAAACTATTCCATTTTTAATAAATCCTGAACTATGGCTAAGAGTTTTAATTTTTACTTTATTTTAATAGTTTGGTTTTATGAAAAGGGAGCTGTTACCACATGTTTTCCAGTAGTTGTACTGGTTTTGTGTGTTAGTAAATAAGGCTTTCCTGGGGGGGGGGGTGTCATTGCTTTGTCACTAAATGATTCAGTATGTAGTTAAGAATCACAAATAAGGGTACTAAGGCTATATCACATCTTCCTAGGTAAGTCACAGTTGTTGGGGGCTGGTCTCATCCTCTTAAATGAGTGCTTCTGATTAATCAATTCCCATCTTCAGGGGCTCATAAGAAACTGGATGTTGAATTATTTTTATGACTGGTCTTCATTACCACATGTTGCCCACACTGTTGCCCACAACCAATAGACCCTGCCTTTCAGTGGTGAATTATTAGTTGGTGTTCTTTAGATACAAAAGTGAAACCTGTGAAATAATGCTTTGAGGGCCTCTGGCATAAAAAAAAAATGAAATAGCAATTTCCATACATATTACATGGGGAGGTAATATTTATTTTAAGATGAAGTACCTAAGTCTCTGAGATGTCAAAGTAACCTTCCCAATTCACAGAGTTATAAGACATGGAGCCCAAATTCAAAATTAGGTCTTTCTGAGCTTTCTTCCCTGGTTCAGATTGCTGACTTCGTGCACTTACATTGAACAGAGTATGTTATTGCAGTCTGGACATTTTACTTTAATGTTTGTTAATACAGCAGCTATGAGCCTGACCTTAGAATCACATTTCCTGGATTTGAGTCCCCAGTCCAGTACTTCCGAGCTTTGGGACTTCTGCACATTATTTGACCTCTCTTATCTAATGGACAATAGAGTTATGAGGGTTAAATGAAATGACATCCCGTACCTAGGATAGGTGTCTGCCCTAAATAGGAGCTCAATACCTGTCTGCGATTCTTTTTATTTCATATTATGGGTCAGTTTTCTCTGAGTACCCTTGGAACCTCCAGCTAACGCTTGTTTTTTAGATTAAGGCCATCATGGTTGGTGGTTGCTATTCTATTTATCTACACACTTTTCTCACATATATTCTAACCTTATCATCTGCACAAGAAAACACTCTGTACTCCCAAGCAGGCTTTGAACAGACGACTTAGTACTATGTGTAGACAAGCAGAGAGGCTAGAATTGCAACCTGTCAAGGGTCATTCCCCAAGACTCCCTACTGTCAAGTTAAATTTATAAAAGATGCAACTAATAACCATTATTTCATTAGCTAATACATAAAGATTGTATGCCTTGTTACATTTTCATTAGCTTATCTGTTTAAAGATATTTATTGTACATTTTATCTATAACTAACACTGATGCAAATACTGATTAAAATAATAAACCCTTCTTTCATATTCTAGTAGAAAAAGATAAAAAAATAAGCAGCAAAACCTACAGAATATCAGAAATTCAAAATTTCTTGGAAAATAATAAAGGAAAGAGAGGGAAAGCCAAAGTAGGTTGCTGGTGGTGGGACGTTGAGTTTTTCAGTGGGACACTCTAATAAAAAGCCTTATGGAGTTGAATACATTTGAGCACATATTTGAAAGATCTGGTGGTCCACGTAGATGGGTAACTAGGAACTGAGCATTTCACTGCCAGGAGGAGCAAATGTAAGTATTGTAGGGTAGAGCTATAAATGGTGGTACACATCTAGAGTCTCACACTTCAGAAGGCTGACGCAGGAAGATTACAAGTTCAAACCTGGATTGGGAATGTTGTGACTTAGCAAGACCCTGTCTCAATATCTGAAAAGGACAGGGGATGTAGCTCAGTGTGAAGACCTTGCTACTAAATAAAAATGAATGAATAAATGAGTGGATGAATTGAATGAATAGAAAGAAAGAAAAGAAGAG